CATATGCAATACTATTACACTGACCGCTAAAAATAGATTTTGTTGAAACAGTGAAGATCAGCTGGGACCCCAGAAAATCCAGCCCTCCCTCCAGGTTGCCCTTAGCATCCTTGTGCTCATCTTGCCTTCTTTCAGGATAGAAGTCGCTTCCAGGGAAAAAAGGGCTGGCCAGAGTGTTTCTGCATCAGCCAGGATATCCCCTGCCTGTGAACTCGCCTCACAGTGTGCTGCTAGCAGAAATATATGAGACTTAACTTCTAACAAGAGAAAAAGTGTAAAGGCAGCAAAAAGCTGATACTGAGCACAGCTTAGCCAGAGGAGAGAATGAGGGCTGCTGTGTATATAGCCACAGACACACACCTGCGCGTGTTTGCACACATCGGTCCAAGCCAGTTCAGCCACTGTGTGAAGTTTCACAGCACAGTTTATTCTAGAAAAGAGTAGGGCTTCAAGGAGAGCTGCTTTGCAGCAGTCCTCTGTGCACAGCACATAAACCTGAACATTAAATATTGGTTTAAATTATTAAGAATAAATTTAAATTTAAAGATAGACTAATGCAAACAAACAAATTTCAGTCAACATTGGAACAGAGCTAGTTTTAGGAAGCATATTGCTCTAGCAAATGCAACTCCTCGTTCCCTTGGACACTCTGAGGCAATGAGCTGGTAATTCCAGTTCAGCACTGAGATGCACATACTACCCAGCAAGGAAAAATTACCATCTCTAGCATATGAAGCTCCATGTTCACATTTTTTTTTCCCATCACAACAGAAAAAAAGCCAACACAGCACATTAGCTCTTCCCACAAAGCATTTGAGGTGACAAAATTTACTTGGAAAACAAAAAGTAACAAAAGCAGTACAAAGAAGAATCCTGGTCAGCTTGTGACCACCGTAAGCCAAGATGGGTAAGAAAAAGAATAAAAAAATAGTTCACATCCGGCACCACAAACCTTGCTCATTTTCTTTTAAATCAGGGAATGAGAAAAAAGGTCCATTTTGCTGAGACCATTTCAACAAAGTTTTCTTTCCCTGAACCTGTAAAATCCAGGTATTAGGGTACAGAACTTTTGTTTTATATGTATATAAATACACATGTACATATTTATATAAATATAAAAGCAGAGCATCCTCCTGTTTCTCCTCATAATTTATTATTATTAAAGCTTGTAACAGAGTTAGCTGGACTCTTCAGAAGTGGGTACTCTCTGCACACACATGGCACAGGGAGTCTACATCTGCTAGAGCAGAACAACCAGGCAGGAACATGAAACTTTGGGTGACGGAGGTGGATTTGGGTGAGCAGCCAGGGAAGCGCTGGGAGCAATGACTGGAAATGGTCTCGCTTGCTCCAGGGTGGCACTCTGGCCCGCCAGAGCTGGTCTCCATGAGCAGACTCAGTGACGGCACGGGAGGGTGGCTGCACCGACCCACCCGGCCCCTTGGCAGCCCAGCTGCCCCCCGCCCCATTCTGTACCAGCCGTTGAAGGGGAAACCATCCCTCGCTTTTAAAGGGAGTCCCAGACTTTGCCCCCCAAGCATGTGCATGCTAGTTCCCTTTGGCAGCACTCCCCACCATGCTGCCATGGATCTTTTTGCCTCCTGTCCTCAGTCACCCATGCCACTCCCTGCCTCTGCTTGGTTCCCCCTCACCTAGTCCTCCCAGACCTTCTGCTTGGTGGTGGAGACCAGACACCTTTTTCTCCCCCCGAACCACAGGTTCCTACTCACACTGTTTTACATGAATGCTTTCTCACAGTCTCATAAGACCCAATAATTTCCTCAGAGGACAGAGTTTCTCAGAAGTTTTCCGCTCTCGGAGACTAAGTCAGGGCTGGTAGCATGTGCTTCTTGAGAGGTGCTGGCTTTGTTCCAGAGAGGGCAGGGGCAAAGTGCAAAAGATTCATTGAAATCAGAAGGTATTTCCACCACTGACAGCTCGCTCTCCTTCATGTTGTGTAGCACTTATTTCAAGTAAGGTATTATTCATGCGTCTCTGCAGCCTTCACTGTTCTGGGGTGAGTGGAGATCAGTAGATGTCTACTGGTGACCAGTTGAGACACTTCATCATGATGCATCCTGGAACAGCTGAAAACATTCAAAACCAACTGCGTCTTCATGGCAAAAAGTGCTTTTCTTGAGAAACAAAATGAAAACAGTGTTCCCATGGAACATCTTAAGGACTCAGAAATAGTATTTCCTAGGATGGGAAGGATGGAGCACACCTACTTCATTTGGCTTTATCTCAGAAAGGAAACGGAGCTACTGGCAAAATTGGCACATCTTTGTGAAGTTGTTAAACTTGGGACCCTAGCTGGAATGTAAAAGAAATGATGGAGCAAAGGAGAACTTTGCCTTGCGCTGGGATTCTGCTAGTTCTGGCGATTTCATGTGCAGGTTGTCCAAAAAAGTTCTGCTAGCCAAGTAAAGATGAATCTCTCAAATAATAAACTGTGGGTTTTCAAAGAGGCCTTTTGCGGGTAATGCTACAACCTGGTAGAGGTAAGTCTTTTCATGCCCCTCCGCTGAGCCAGATTGGAGGACAATACAGGCTCCAGCCTTGGTGCCTGAGGTGCTCGGTTTAAAGCAAAGTAAGTGGCTGCCATTGCACCCTGTAAAATAGAGAAAGAGAAAATGCTGGGCTGAAATTCAGTTCTTTGATGCTTTTACCTCCCTCTCCCTATTCAGTCTCCTGAAAAAATGGACATGCATGGACGATTTCCATGAAATGATAACACCATTTAGGCTGGCAGGCAGCTGGGGTGTCTCAGATTCAAAGTGGTGGCAGTACATGCACAGAGTCCCACCAGGTCATTACAATGCAGCTTGAAGTTAAAATTATTGAGCAGGTGACAGCTCAAAAATCTTACTGTTAATATGGTGCCATATTAAATTTGGTCTCTGTGGCAAATAATCTTCCCAATTCCTCTGTTGGTTTCCAGAATATTTGGACAAATGACTCATTCTGCAAGGAAGGAAGAGGCAGGGGGGTAGGGTGTACCTTCACCAGGTGAACATCCTGTCTGCTGAGTTGGTTTTGAGACAGATACTCCCTGTTCACTATCCATGGATGTCTTAGGACTTGGACTGCTGTGAGGCGCTGATGAGGGTCTACATGAAGCATCTTTGACACAATGTCCTGGGTTTAAGAGGAAAAAAAGAGTAAAAGGGAAAAAGTAATTAATAGCAGTGCAGGTTTTACTAAGATCTTTCCGGTGGCAGTGTCATCACCAGCATGTCCAATGGAGAGAGGGATGCACTTTAGATATGTTTTATATTTTTTAGGTGTAAAGTCTGATCTTCAAAATTTCCAAGTGTAATGTTCAACTCTCAGTTGATAATCCAGTCAAACGATAATGTGGAGGGTATTCAGCTTATTGAATGAGTGTTAATTACAGGTGACCTCATAGGGGTGATAAACTCCACCTAGAGGTGATGCCATCTGGAGGCATCTCCTCACTGACTCCAAAGCATGCTTACAAGAGAAGCTTAAAATAGAAATCTAACATTCAGGTGGCTAAAATTCAAAGAGATCAGTTCTACCATGTCTGAACGTTTTAATTTCAAAACTGGACATCTGACAAAAAATTCATTGTGAGGCTCATCGTTGTTGGTAGCAAGACGAATATGTTACTAGGATTGCTTGCAGTTTTGTGGTGGGATATATCAATGTTCTGCCATTGGATACTACCAGCTGCTAAAACTGAAGTCTCTTGCAGGAATCTCTAAATCCTGTCAAAGTTTCTGATTAATGCCAGCCAACTGGAAGCTTGCCAGCTTTCCTGCCCATCTACCTGTCTCATAAACCAGTGCACAGCTTCATGCCCAAAAGTCTCAGCACCGGATGAATTTTATTTCCATGGGTCTCCATGCTTTGTGATAGATAGGCAACCTAAATTGTGAACTGTACAGGAGTTAAAAATGCTAGTTTGTAAACCGCCTGCTCCTGGTTAACTTTGAGGAGCAAAAAGGTGATTCACATATAGACCATGAATTAAATCTCAAGAGCGTTCACAATTGACGGTGCTGTATTATGCTTTAGTTTAATGAAATAAATTACCAAAATTCCTGACACACTATTTCATGCAGAGTGATAGAAACATAAAGAAGCAAGCTTTTATATCATGAAGCACTGAGAAATAACCCTTCTAACTGTCTCTCAGGTTTGTTACAATTGCAGACTGCAAGCCTGTTTCAGAGAACAAGAAAAAAAACCTGAGAAAGTGTTCACTGACCTTTGCAGTATCAGATACTGAATCCCAGTTTCCTCCTGTAAGTGCATATTTGCCACTGCCGATCCTGGCCAGAATCTCCTCTGGGGTGTCATCTGGTCCATTTGCAAAAGGAGTGAACCTATTTAAAAAAAGAGAAAAAAATACAGTGTAATTTGCAAGTATATGATATCTAGGATCTAGTGCTAACTTCCATCGATTACAACAGGAATTTGGTTCCCGAATGGACCACAGACATCACTGCTTCATTTTCACTCAAACTATCCAGTCCAGTGGTTCCTCATATTAAGTTGTTTTGCAGAGAAAAAGACTGATTCCTTAATTGTTTTTTAAAAGTTTTGTTCTGTTCTCATTTTTTAGGGATGAAATATTCTTTTTAAAAATAGACAGGTTTTTACCTCTTTAATTGTTTTAACTCTGCTTTATTGCTAATAGAAGTACCTTGATAATGGCAAGAAAGGATAAAAATAATAAAGGGGAAAAATTAGGATCTGAAACAGAAAAAAGGAAAAGAAAAAAGAACCCTTTATAATGTATTTTGCAGTACTTTGCTAACCATAATGTGCAAGTCTGTTGGGCAAAACAAATGATCTGCAATAGGTTATTTAAAACCTTCCTGATCTAGCCAGTAAGAAACTACTAATAATATGCACCCAGGTCTAGTGTCACATGAAGAGGGCACACTTCTTGTCTTCATCAAGTGACAAGTGATAAGATTTTTTCAGCTGACTAAAATCTACCAGGCCAAATTTTCCTCTGCAATCTTGAACAGCTGTGTAGGCTTAGAAGAAGGGGGTATTGGATTTTTACACTTTGCCTTCCATCTGTCTTTTCTCATCTGAAAACTTGCCAGTTTGGTTTTTAGATCGTTGGTTTGGCCACAGCTTCCTATCCCACCTGGTTTTTAATAGCATATTCAATTCCTCATGCTGCATTTTCTAATTTTCAAAAACGTCAGATTTCACAGAAGTTCAGCCCAAAGAGATACATAATATTATTGCAATCTATATCTATCAAGAGGGATGCACTAAGAGTTAAGGACTGGCTAAAACTCTAAAGTCTGTCACTACCTGCATTAATAGGATCCCAGGCTTGCATTCTACTCCTGGCTATCTGAGCCCCCTCTGCTCATAGTGATGATGGGACGAGAATAAAATCCTGGCTGCAAGTAATAGTCAGCTCCTACTAACTCTCCTCTGGTGAGGAAGAACAAGACCATCCCCAAATGCAGTGGTGGCACCTAAAATGTCAAACTTAATCTCAGCTGTCTGCATTACTCTTATTTTCTCTTCTAAGTGCAGAAAAAAGTGAGATACAAGTTAATGGCACCTGTTGGCAAATTAAATATCTACTAACTTGTGCAATTTGTATTTCCAATTCAAATATATTTGGATTCTTTTTTCACATTTAACAAAGAAGCATTTTGAATATAATCAGCTAAACAAATGTGACTGTGAGTAATGTATTGCTTTTAGTTTATTGATTCTGGTTGTGTATCACTGCAAATCTATGGTATTAGCCAAACAGAAACAGCTTTCTGGAGATGCCAGCAGACTGGGAGACTGCCCCAGAAAGTCACAATACATTTCAGCTAATGGTGAACACATTTCTACTCAGGAACAAAATAGATGGGACAGAAACTCCTGGCGCTTTTTCTATAATCCATGAGGCAAGAGACATGAATACAAAAAGGTAGGGTCCAACTCTTTGTTTTCTGTGCAAATCTAGGAATGAATCCAAGCTTCTTGCCACAGCTGAATGATCATGAAGCAGATCAAAGAGCTGTGGGAGGTCACTGAAAAGTTTCAAGCTGCACTTAGGTACGATAAATGTGCACATACCATACCCTGCAGCCAGCAAGAGAAAGGAAATTCAGGAGCCTGGTAACTCCAGAGTGGTTTTGCGCAGTGTTTCCCATTCAGCCCACTGCATAGTATTCCTACCCTTCACTGCTTATTTCAATCTGTCTCTTTCTCTGGGTCTTTTGTGTCAATATTTAACTTTAGCCAACACATTGGTAGGGGTTTTTTTTTGCCAGGTACCCCCCAAAAGGTCCTGCTGCCTGTTGCTGTTTCTTGCTGGTCTGTTCATTTACTTTCTGTCCTTTCTGTAGCATATTTTTCAAATAGCACCTGAAAACTCTGTTTGTTTTTTGGTTTTTTTAGGCTTTAAAACTCAGATACCTTGATAACAACAACAGTAGAATAATAATGAGGCTGAAGAGAATACATGTATTAATAGAAATGAATAAACATCCTCTTATGGATAAGGTGACCATGATATGGCTCTTCATACTCCTACACTCCTCTCCTAGTGTAAAACATTCACACTGCTTAAGTGGTGAGTGAGCCTTTTAGGAGTCTAGGTCTCAGTGAACACTTATGGGCACAGGCTGTTAAAAACCTAAACAACTCGTAAAGTGTCAAAGATATTTATGCATTCTGGAAACACGTATTCTAATTCTAGGTCTCG